TGGTGGCGATGATGGTGGTGGTGGCAATGATGTTGGTGGAGGTGATGGTGATGGTGGAGGTGATGGTGATGGTGATGATGGTGATGGTGGTGATGGCAATGATGGTGGTGGTGATGATGGTGTAGATGCTGGTGATGCTGGTGATGATGATGGTAATGATGGTGGTGATACTGTTGATGATGGTGGTGATGATGATGGTGGTGGTGATGGAAAACTCCTTTCTGGGGTGTTACACTCAGTGTCACACTTGTGTATATAGGCGGGAGCAGGAAGAGACCCCACCCACAACCTAGCTCATGGCAAAGGCTGCTATGTTTGAGATTCGGCACATTGCGCACTTCGGTTGAATCGATCCGAGAACCAAATATAGCCTTTTCTCCAATGATGTATCTATGATTTCTGACCTATTAAGCTGATTTACTGATTTTGATGTTTTTATATTCACCGTGCCATGATTTCTGCAGAAATTATTTTGTGGCACAATTCTGCTCATTTACACCAATCAAAATGAAGATAGTAGTGTTTTTTTAAAAAGCACCCCAAACTTGTTACCTACCACTGTTAGTATTTTACTTCTATCGCTTGCCACAGGTCCGTTGAGTTAGCACACTGCTCAGGTAAGCCACTGAAGAACACTTCAATGTCTTAGCTAAGAGATGAGAATGCTTATAAGAGGCTTATAAGCATTCACGCATATTAAACATAATGTTAATTTAAGTAGGAAGGATTTTCATTTCATCTAATGCACCCAAGGGTATTTTCTTCGACCATTTAGTTTTATCGACTTCTCTGGGTGCATAATGACTGACATCCATTACGTGCTAACTACTCTGGAAAAATACGTAATCTTTGAAGTCTATTCCAATCTTCCTGTCACATACAGCAAGGTCAGAAAAAGCAAAAATTAATGAGCATAGTAGCCACAATTTTCCATATTTTAAATTGGAGCTATAGAGCAGGCAAAAGTTGCCATCTATGTGACTTGTGGGATGGTTCATACAAATAGTTTTATAAAGAAATTGCCACCACATTGATTTCATAATGAATAACTTGCCATAATAGACCAGACATAATTGGATAAGCAAGAAACTCAATATGGTACATATACATCTGTGTTGCCACGCATATTTTTATTTACCATAAAGTCTATGGGCATTGTTCTCACAATGAGTGCAAAAAGTCTCAACTTTCCAAAACATGTGCGTCCCTCCCAACAAGTCTGTGAGTCCTTACCTGGTCACATTGCGGGAAATAGTACCTCCTTAGCAGTCACAATTTTCTTCTGATGCCCAATGGGCTATGAAGGGACCCGTTTATCCATTTTCTCTATGTCGAGGGTATTCCGATTCCCTCATTTTCTCTGGCCTGCCTGTGTGCATTTTTGTCCTTATTCCATTCAACTGGAAAATGCTCATTAAGCTTCATTAAAGGCATGGTGAGAGGCCTGGCTACAGATATCACATGTTTTCCAATTATATCCGAACCACGGATATTTCTTCACCCCAACTCGCGTTAATCACCCAAGGCTATTGTAGGAAGCACCAAAATTTGCCTTTGGTGGATAGAAACAAGAGCGCAGTTAAGTAGAAAATGTTCAACAGGAAACACTTAGCAGTGCGGGGAAAAAGACGGGCACTTATTCTACTCTTGTGGAGGAGCTGTGGTGTGCAAAGACCAGTATGTAGCTCTTGGTGAGTGTGAGCTCCTATAATATTCTAATGAGTCTTTAAAAATATCCTGTCACGCCCACGTATCGCTCTAAGAAAGCTGCAGTGCACAGACGAACGTATTTCTTTCCACGGCCCTTGAAATCATGACAGATGTATCCCTCTTTGGACCCTGTGCCAAAAGGGAAAACAGTGAATAAAGACACCAAACAACTTCTCGGTCGCCTGGAAGATGCATGTTACGGTGCTAATCACGATCCTTCTTCTGCACTCTCTGGGAAAAAAGGCTGCCAACCTAAGCCAGTTTCTGCCTGTTTTTTTCTTCTTAATTCGGCCCCGTTCGCTCAGCCAGTTGGTAAGAGGAGGCAATCCCTGCCCTGCCTTCCTCGGCCTCAGTGCAAGGGCGCGGTGCTTGGCAGGTACGGAGGCAATTACACTAACGAGAACAGAGGGCCCACGCCGGCTGCGAGTCTCTAGTCACGCCCTGTTTCCAACAGGGACGTTTTGGACGGAATCGCCGTGATTATACCTTGGAGCATGCTCAGGCACTGTGATGTCCAAGTCCGCGAGCCGTAAACACTTGTCAGATTTCATCCGACGGTTTCCTTGGGAATCTCAGCCCCGTGTAAGAGGCCGGGCGTTCTGGTAACTGCTGTTTCCAGTACCCGTGATGTATATATTTCATGGCACCAGCCTGCCCAGCGCTTGGTTACAGATGCTGCTGCATACCTCTGAGATTGCTAAGGGAGGCTTCGACCTGAGTCGAGAACTTCCAAAGCTAACAGAAAAATGAACTGTGAAATTGAGCACGAGAGAAACGCCTTGGATGATGCTTTCAATGTTTATGCAGATTATAAAAAAAATTAACCAGCTGCACATTTGAGCTAATTCAGTACAGAATCTGTGGCCTTTTTCTACATTTTACCTGCAAAATCCTCGCATTGAGACACTATTCTAATCCAGTGAGTTGAGGTCATTTTCCAATTTTATGTACGATTACGAACAGTGTTATTTGACGTCCACAACGCTAAGCCACACCTGGGGATTATAGTTTTTCCAAGTAGCTTTTTGGACGTTTTCCTCGATGGTTCATTAGTCAAACAGCATAAAGTCTTTCTCTCATGTCTGCTTGTCACTGGGCATGGCCGCCGTGACCTACGTTAGATTTAGGACATCAGAAGGACTCTCCTGGCTGGGAGAGAATGCCTTTTGGTGCTGAACGCAACCTCGCGAAATCTAGCCATTGCTAGCGGTCGTGCGGCTCTGTCAAAACTGATGGTCGAATACACACACCATCACGTTTCCCATGCTAACGCACCTGCGGGCTTTTAATTCAGCACGGTTTGGAGAAAAGAACGAGAGGATTCTGGGGGGACACGGCACACTAGTATTGGGGTTTCTGCTGGTGGCTGGGGTTCCCATGGTCACTCGGACGTGCCCCTGCCGACGCCGTCCTCCTCTGAGTTTTGCATGGCTTTTCCAGACATCGTCACCTTGAGAAATGTTGTGTTATAATTCACCCTCTTTTTGGAACAGAGGTTGAGACATTTCTCATCTTCTCCCCTCCCCGCCTCCCCCAGTGGGGACTTGGATCCTTTTTTAAATGATCACATCTCTAGCCTCGTGTGAACTGCTCTCTGCGTGATGGACCTAACACTCCCCCAAATCTGTCTCCTGGGCTTGGGGTTCCCAGGGCTGGGATCCAGATGGGTTAGGAGGTACCCATCTGGCCAGGGGGGAGGGACAGGTGGCGTGTGGGCAGGTGTTACCAGGTGTCCCTGGATGGTGGAGAGTCACACGCTGTCATCACTGGGAGCAGCAGGCAGGACACAGGCAGGTTTTACCAGGTGCTGCTCAGGGGTTACACAGATGGTAGCAGGTGTTAGCAGGTGGGACCCACGTGGTACCAGGTGGTCGGGAGCCAAGTTCAGTCATCAGTGAGAAGCGGCAAGCAGGCTACTGGCAAGTGTTCCCAGGTGTGATTCTGGTGTCCGCAGGTGTCCGCACTCAGCAGTATGGAGCCGCAGGCAGCCCGCTGGCCTTGACCCACGAGATTCGCTTATTCTCTCCCTGGGTTTGTGTTCAGCAATGGCACCTCATGTGTTTCTGATATCACCCACTCGACTGGACACCCAGTAAAGAGAAAGCGCCCTCCCCATCTGTCTCCAAGTCCCATCGTCAGGCTGCTGGGGGTGCTCCCCTCCCTCTGACAGGGGGCGTCCCAGGTCCTTCCCTCCTGTGGCTGTGCCCTCGCCCCCCCGCCCCCGCCAGTGCCCACGGGCTGGGCCTCACAGCCACACCACTCCTTCCTCCCACCAGTGACTACTCGCCACCCAAGCTAGGGCGCAGCCCGAGGGCGGGGGGTTTCCTTGGCTGGAAAGGTGTGCTGCAGGTGTGACTGGGTTCCGAGGAGTGTGGTTGGGGGAGGACAGCTACTGGGCCGCAGCCCTCAAAGGGGCCAAGAGGCTCAGGGGAAAGGTCGGGCCACCGTCTCCCTAAGGACTGGTACATGGAGACAGCATTTCCCCTCTTCGCCTGGGCAGAGCTGCTGCCGGGGGCCCCAGCCCCTTCCCTCAGCAGTGACGCAGCCACCCCGTGTCCTCTGCCTGCCACGCACACGTCCTAGCGATGACCACACACCGGTGGTCACACATTACGCACACGTTACCCACAAAGCGCTCCTCTCGCAATTCAAGGAGTCCCCATCCTCACTCCTGTTTGGCTGGTTCACAGCTGCACCGAAATGGCATCAGCTCCCTGCCCTGCCCAGCCCAGCTGTGACTCGGAAAGGCCTTCCCACGCTTTCGCAGCGCTGCTCCTTGGCAATTCCGTCTCCATCAGAGATCCCACGTGCCTGGCGAGTCTAAAAGCTGAGCGTTGTTCAGCTACGTTCAGTGCACTGAGGCTGCCGCCACTTGGTCACGAAACATCCATGGGTGTGTGGCTTTGAGCAGTGCACAGGTTCTGCAGGGTTCCAGCTGACACTATGGTTTACGGCATCCAGAAAAAGCAACCCACTGGAGAATGCAGTATAGGGATTCGACTGAATAGCACGGAGCCTGTTTCCAATGGTCAAGCATCAGCTATTTGACACCATTGTGAACTCGGTTACAATGTAACAAGCTGTGAATGCTGAGTGTGTATGAGTAAGTGTGTTGCATGCAACATTGTAACTGGTGGGCCACCAGCCTTTCAGAAATTAGCAGGAAGTATTGTGCTTCTTGGAAGCAGATACATTGATTCTGTGAGCCGTTCCGGGGGCCCAGGGAGGGGACACAGACGCGGAGCCTCCCATCCGCTGTCTGGAGCAGAACTGTCTCTGGTCTCCCACAGCCCCTGTTCCCCAAGAAGAACTACGAATGCCTGACCAGCTGCGAGTTCCTCAAGTACGTCCTGGCCGTCAAGCAGGGGGACTGCCCTGCACCGGAGAAGGCCAGCGGCTTCGCGGCCGCCTGCGTGGAAAGCTGCGAAGTGGACAACGAGTGCTCGGGGGTGAAGAAGTGTTGCTCGAATGGATGTGGGCACACCTGCCAGGTGCCCAAGACGCTGTACAAAGGTGAGAGCCCGCTGAGCCCGACGCTCCCCGGAATTTCTGTGTGCAGACCAGCTTTTGCCATTGTGGCTCTGTGGGTTGGGCGTCATCCTGTAAAGTGAGAAGTCGCCGGTTCAATTCCCAGTCATGGCACAAGCCTGGGTTGTGAATTGGATCCACAGCTGGGGTGTGTATGAGAGGCAACCAATCGATGTTTCTCTCTCGCATTGATGTTTCTCTCCCTCTCTTTCTCCCTTCCTTCCCCTCTCCCTAAAAATCAATAAGTACCAACTTTCAAAACATGTTTAACAGACCACGGAAATCAGATTGGGGGCAAGGAAGTCATATTGGAGCAGAGCCAACCCTTCCTATTAATACTTTCAAATTTAATATGAAGGAAGGAGAGCATTGCATCAGGGGCATCTTAAAACGGTCTTCTCTGGCAAGAACGAACCAGTTAAGTGGCACCGGTGCAGGGGAACAAATACATTTGGGTCCCCGGGAGACAGGCCGGGCTGAAGCACACTCGAATGAAACCTTCTCGGTGCCGCAGTCTGGTGGTTTTCCTCTTGGCGTAGGCCGAGGGCGCCAGTGACGTTGTGTGGACTTTTAAATATTTCGATCAGAATCAGGAGACCCCTGACGCAGGAATTGGGCTCTTCCAGGAGGTGGGACTCAGTTTACCGGACAGTGGAGCCAAGGGGATAGCTCCCACACACAGGCTGCTTCTGGGCCCTTCACCCTCGACGCCGACTGTTCGCTCACTCCCTTCTGCAGAGCGGCTGTTGGGACTCGTGCTGTTTGGATTGGCGTCAAGGCACAGGCGCGAGGCATAGAGACCTTTGCTACTGTGGCAGCCTGATGTGCAGAGTGAAACAGAGAGACTTTATCACTCGCTGTTCATTTATTCAGTGCCAGTCGAATGTGATGTCTCTTTCTCTCTCTCTTTCACATCTATCCACAAACACCAATATGCACTCCTTCCAAGCATATGTAAGCTTTTAAAAAGGACCATGTATAAAACGGCATCGCCCTGAGGAAGTCAGAGACCATCCCGTGACTGTCTCGGTCTCACCCAGAAATCTCGCCTGCACTCCACGTAAACCCCGCAGTTTCCCTTAAAAACTCGGCCTCAGTCCCGTGTGTATCCCATTCAAAACCCTTGCTGCTTTCCCCACCCACCCACTGATGCTCCTTTGATGATTCCAGTTACATTGTTTCCCTGCCTCTTGTTACAAAGTGGAAGAAATCACTTCTGTGAAATCTCTTGCCATGTAACGCATACGTCTATCATGGTGAAACCTTTTCAGTCATTGCAGATCGTGGGCTACTCAGGCATGAGCCTGGACCATAAAATCAGGGTGCTCTTAGAGTTCTGGAACTGTGTGTGCAAAGCCTTCAGAGATTTCAAAGGAAGGTGCGTCAACGAGGGAATACGAATTAAAACAGGCTTTGTCTATGAAAGCGTTGAAGGGCCAGTATGCATTTCAAAGATGCCGGGTTCACGGAGCCTACGGCAGGTCTGGCACAAAGAGCCAGCCAGCCACCGTGGCTCATCATCGCAGATCATTCCTCTTAAGCCTGCGTGTCCCCAAGGAAGGCAGATGCTCTTGGAGGTGCTGCTGTCAGAGAAGGTCTACAGTTGGATCTTTGCAGAGAGAGGCAGCTCATGGAGAACTGACCACCAAGGGCGTAAGCAGAGTCTGTTGGCCTGAGTATGCCTTCTGCGTAATGAGCGTAAGGAAGATCGGTTGTGATTTTGAACCCACACACACTGACTGGACGGTGGCCGGTGCAGTGGGGTGCGATTCACATCTTCCGCCTTGGTCGGTGCACGTGGGTGACCCAGAGGCTGCCTGGACCGAGCCTCATAACAACACTCTCAGCTGCTGAGCCGCTTGGAGGCCCCGATCGCGGGTCAAAGTGGGAGCCACACGGCTTGCTCCCTCTGCAAAACTCTGGCTCCCTGGCTGTCCGGGAAAGGGTCCTTTCTGACCCAGTGCTCAGCATTGTATTGCCTATTCCAGCCGTCACCGTCCCTGCCACCTCCCAGTGCCCCAGACGACCCACGTGCCCTTCGCCCACCTTCCTCGGTGCTCATGCCAGGTCTGTGCAGCCCCCTCAGGACGCGGAGGTTGGTCATTGGTTCAGTGCTCGGGTTCTGCTCTCGGCTCACCAGTGCGGAGCTGAGGCCGCACGCGGGGTCTCAGGGGACCCGGGAGTCGGAGGTGAGGGCGCATCTCACCCCCGGCCCACCCTGAGGCAGCTCTCCTGCCATTTTTATTTTCCGTGGTAGTTGGACGGACGCAAATAGAACCCTAAACTTCCAGCGCTGTTGGGCATTATCGGATGCTATAGTACAGATCAATTAAATGAGATCTCGACACCGCATACTTTAATGTACTGAAGTCACAGATGTATGGCTGGTTTTAGACGAGTAAATGAGGGGTGCAGCACCAATGTGACATTGCCCCACCCCACACACACACCCAGTGTGCTAGCCTTCATCGAGGGCTCAGACCCACAACCCTGGACAAAAATGCTTGTAACTCACGCAGGACATGAACACACACCCACCCTGCCCTGTTTTTCCTCCTCCTGCTCATCGTCTCAGGTAAAACCCCACTAGGTAGCGACCCACACCAGCCTTCTGTCCGGCCTCCTGTGTTTACGGCAGGGGAGACGGGGCCTGTGGACTGTATCGCTTCAGCAGCGTCCTATACCAGAAATGGGACTTTGAGACACCATGGAGATTTTCATAAGCTGACCAACCAAATGCTCCGGGATGCCAGAGCCCTGGGTTGGGTGTCTGCAAGGATACGCGTCTTCAGCTGGTGCCTTTATATGAGCTCACTTCACAGGCTGGCGTTGCTGTCTGCAGCAAAGGGGAGCCATCGGGAGCCTTTCCCCGAGTCTCCCAACACAGGAAATTAGCAGCAGCATCTTCAGACACGTGAGTGTCTTAGCCAGGCCGAGCGCAAGCCTTGGGACTGTGCACAGAGTTGGAAGGCTGATTTTGCGCAGGTAAAAACATCCACCGTGGCACCGTGGCTGGCTCAGTTTCCCTCTTGTCCTCTCCTCCTTCTGATATACAGCTTACACTCTCTCATGTCCAGAAGATGATGCATTTTTACTATTTTCTTGCGCAGACATTGGCCTGTCCAGAGGCCCAGCGGTGGCAGCGGTTTGGGGAGGGCAGGAGGAAAGCTGAAATTCCAAATGTCGAGATTAGCGTCTGTGCATGGCTTTTCTGCATTTTCCACTTGTCCTTTGTGGAGTACACGCCAAGGAAAAATCACGCATGAACGTGTTTCTGCTCAAAGAGGCCCTACCGTGGAGTTGATTGAATGTGCCCACAATATCTTAATAGGTGAAACAGACACACTTCAGGCCTTTAGAGATGGACTCAGGCCATGCTGCACAAACGAATGTTTAACATTTTTTAAAGGATCGTGCAGAACACCTTGGTGTAATGAAACAAAGCCCCGATTCCTGGAGTAGTGGTTCTGTGTGTGAGAAATGTTAACTGTTGATTGAGCCTTCACAACACCCTATCTCGCTACATTTTGGTAACATTTGCAGCCGTAAGAGATTTGCACACAAATAAAGGAGTCTCGTGGTGATTGCCGACCGCTGGCTGCTCATCATCTCCACTTTTCTATCAGGAGAACTTTCCGCATTTTTGAAAGCGTTGGGTGTCTTTTCCTTGGATTTCGGCAAGATGCGTGTCACCGTCTCAAGGAAAACTGTGCACCTGTGTGATCACCCGCTGTGGGGTGCTGTACCATAGCAGCTTTGAGTTTTGTACAGAAGAGTTTGAACGGCGGGTGACTAATTTGTTCAGAAGTAATAAAGAACAGTTCGGTCGGTGACCTCATAGCAACCAGCTGCGGAGTGCTCCCCCTTGTACATCTGGGGATGGAATCCGGACGCTGGTGGGACCGGCAGGCGTGGTGGGGAGCTGCGCCGTGGGGCCTGGGGACCTAAAGGGGGGCCTGTGTGTGTGTGTGGGGGGGACAAGGCCCCAGCTGCACATGACTCCAGCCAAGCGCTGGAGTCACTCGCAATCAAGGGAGACTCGGAGACCCTAATGCAAAGCAGATGGACTGTCTCACCCCGGGCGCATCGTAAGAGTGTTGCTCATCACAATGAAAGGGACGTTGCGATGAAGACATTGGAACTGACATCGCCCCGATGCTGGTTACAGTTGATTACGGCCCTTGGGGGTGGACGGAGATTCCAGAGGGAAGCCCCGGGGCCATGGGATTCAGATGGGTGGGTTTGCTCCTGCCGCATCGGCCTCGGGCGACCTCGGCAGCTGGGGCGTGTGTTTGCGGTGGGGGATGGTTCACGGGGCAGCCAAAGAGAAGGACGGACGTGCCGTCTCAGGGAGCGCGCTGGGTGAGGTGACAGAGGTAAGCAGTCACCGTTGACTGTGCCCACAGGAACCCGGCGACCCGGGCACTGGGCACAGGCCTCCCCCGCTTCCCCAGTTTGCACGCCTGCAGTGCACACATATTTGTCTCGTGCCCGCCCGCCCAGCTGCAGTGCAGGAACGACGTGGAATAGCCACGTCCTCCAGGCTGGTATGGCGTCCCTCGGAACAGTTTTTTTATACCTGAAAAGAACAGAGAGCAACTTCCGGATTAAGACCGCTCCTCCCTTAACTTTGGGGTTTTCATCACATCTGGAATCCTCACCAAAAATCGTTTTTCCGACGGAAGGTGTTCTACTGTCAATCAATAAAGCCCTTCTGTCCTACACACGTCTTACTAGTCTGCTCAGCAGTTAGCATTTTCCTCTTTAAGAAGGAGGAGAGAAGGGACGTTTGAGTGACCGGGCTGGCGTGGAGTGAGTTCCCCGGAGGGATACGGGACTGGGGACGCGGCGCAGAAATCGGGGGTGGTTCCCCCGGCCCCACGTGCCTCTGGGACAGAGAGGGGTTTGCCGTCCTGCCGAGGTTTGCATGTGTGCTGGTGCCCGCTCGTTTCCCGGGTGTATCTTGAGTGCCCAGGGAGTGAGGGGCTCAGCCGATGTCCTCATCCACGTCCACCCAGCGTTTGCTCCTGCAGAACATTGTTCCTGGGACACAGTGAGATTCGGGAAGGAGGGAGACCTGGCCCATGGCGGGGGGTGAGGTGGGGGTGGAGACAGCATCATTCATTCCACAGGCGACTGCCGTGAGAGGCCATTGAGTTACAGGGTCAATGTTGCAAATGCGGCTGAGGAATGGAGCCTGTGTTCCCAACCGGGAGGCGTCGGGTCCGTGGTGGCTCAGAGGGGCATGTGGACCGAGCCTGGACGCATTCACGGGGGTGTGGCTAGAACACAGGAAGAAGGACGTTTTGGAGGGAAAACGCCATGGCTCTGGACGGCCGCGTGTTTGGGGAACCGCTGGGGTTTGCGGCAGCTGCGTGACAAATGCGTGCCACGTGAGCAGAGGTCACGAGAAGATAAGAGTCATGCGTCGAAGAGATGGACGTGCTCCGTGACACACAGACAAGTTTCTCTTCACAGACAATGGGGTGCGGTTGAAGAGTTTCAGAAGGCAAAGGGGGGACTCCCTGCTGGAGGAAAGAACCACAAAATACTGTAAGGAGGGAGTTAGAGAAAAGAGACTGACATGCAGGGACATGGAACAGAAGGCCACAGTGAGGTCCAGACAGGAGAGGCCAGGGCCCAGGGAGGGTGGTCACCACGGAGACCAAGTGATGTGGGTTCCAGCTCCCTGGAACCGGGCCCTGCAGTAATGCACCGAGACGTTCGTAGGTGCAAGAGCGAGTCACAGAGGCTCTGAGACCCAAAGCGCAGAGTTGTCATGAAGATAAATGTCACAGGTGAGGCACACATTTGGGCACAGGCCCTTGAGGTGGGGCCTGGGCAGGTGGATGGGTGGGGGGTGCATCCCAGAGAAGGGTTGTGGCTCCATCTGTGAGTCACCGCTCGGCGGAAATGTTCTACCCTCGAAAGTCAGCGGAATCCCTGCGGTAAGCTCAGCCGCCGAGAGGACAAAGACAACATGAACTTGAAGGACCTTTATGCTGTGGAGCCAGGACGGACTGTGAGGTGTCTCGCCTGGCCAACCAGGAATGTCAAGGACGTTAGGGTCGGGCAGCCCAAGAGAAAACCACCTATTTTCTCTCCTGTCGCAAGGGGTTTTGCTCATTCAAAACGTGGGCGGAAGCAACGAAATTCAGAGAGAAACCTGACATCACCCCGTAGCTCCAGGCACCTTACTCTTCCCGAGACTCAACACTCTCATGCTCAAACGGTAGCCATGGGAAGAATCAGGCAAGACAAGTTCATGGCCAAGTAAAGGCCCTCTGTAAACACCACTCGCCGGTGCATCAAAACAGACAAGGCTGAGGTGCGGTGGACATGTTCTCTAGAAAACTGTCTCCGGGAATCAGTGACCTTTTCAGCAGTTGGAACTACGCCACTTTAAAATGATCCGACCCCCTCCATTGAAATGCTTCCTGATGTTCAAGTTCCCCAGAGCAACAGCAGGCCGAGTTCAGGTGCAAAGGCAGGGAGTTGGACACCAGCCGCGTCCCCAGTGGGTGTGAGAGCTTATTTCCTTCCACTTTGCATTTGCACGCCCCTGCACTCTCTCTGTTCCAACGTGTGTGTGTGTGTGTGTGTGTGTGTGTGTGTGTGAGAGAGAGAGAGAGAGAGAGAGAGAGCTCGCATTCTGAACGGACCTTCCAAAGGTGTAGTCCCTCAGAAAATGATGTGAAATGCAACCATGAATCGATTCCACACGACTGAGCTAGTTTCACATTTCCTGTTAGTGCTATAAATTGGCGTGCAACTCCCTTTCCCCAGGGGCTCCTATTTTGAACAGCGATTCTTAAACTTTCTACTCACCAGACAACTCGTATACACCACAGGAGGAAAGTAGCAATGACCGACACTTTTTCTATCAGACACCTGCGAGTGGCTATTGAAGGAAAACACTTGCCCAGGCCAGATATGAATGTTTCACGTTCATCATTTTCTGGTTTCAAACCTGGAGTCTGTAGCAGAGGGTCTCAGCCATACTTCGGGGTGTCCGTGAGACTTAGGCTTTGGAAAACAGTGTTGTTCTGTATCCCCACGGGAGAGCATTGAGCTTTATGTTTTCCTTACGAGGAAAATCAAGGAGAACAACCCAGGAACCATGTGACAATAACTTGAGACTCGTTCATGCCGCAGAGTCGCTAAATGGGAAAAATGACTTTAAACTCGTTAGCAGTATTGTCTCGTGGGAATTCATGTTTAACCTCAAGGTATGTAGCCTGGTAATGAGTACATGTAAGAAACCTGACTTTGAGGTTCCTGGGAGGAGAAAACCTTGTTCAGAATCAGGAGTCAGATCAGTTTACTGATTTTCAGAGACCGAGAGAGACATCGATTTGTTGTTCTACTTATTTAAGCATTCCCTGGTTGCTTCTTACACACGCCCAGTCTGGGGATCAAACCCACAACCTTGGCATGGGGGGACGATGCCCTAACCAACTGAGCTACCCAGCCAGGGTCTGAATCAGGAATCAAGTCAGACCCCCTTTAAATAATGAACAAACTAATAGGAAAGGGGCTGAGACGCCTTTGAAATGTGAAGGCCTGACCTTAGCGTCAGACGATTTCAAATGGCAAAGCCCGACAGGGAGGACCCACTTTTATGAAAGCCACTCGCGCATCCCGGTCATCAGGCGAGACCCGCCCATAGTTCCTCCTACTGCCCTTGTACTTCAGTGTCCGTCCTGCGCAGGTGGCCGCCATGTCATTGGTCGTGTTGCAGGTGTGCCCCTGAAGCCCAGGAAGGAGTTACGGTTTGCAGAGCTGCCGACCGGCCAGCTGGAGATTAAGTGGTCCTCCAAGTTCAATGTTTCCATCGAGCCTGTGATCTACGTGGTCCAGAGGAGGTGGAATTACGGGATCCATCCCAGCGAAGACGATGCCACGCCCTGGCAGACCGTGGCACAGGTGAGTCCCTCGCAGGCAGCTCCGGGCGGTCCTGTCCAGGGCACACCTGCAGACGCGAAGCTCACGGGCCGTACGTCAGCCAGAATGGCCCGAAAGGACGCCAGCGTGGGCCTGCCGTGTGTGTCTGCGGAAGACAGCACGACCCCTGTAGACACAGCCCCATATGTCTAGAGACTTGCCTATCGGCCTGTTTGCTCAAAAGGAGATGCCTGTCTAATGTGAGCTTTTGCGTTGATGTGGGCCCAGAGCTGGAGATAAGGAAATGCAACCCACCTCGGTCTACTTAGTGTGATGGTTGGTCACGGAAAGGACTCCTTCCCTTCCTCCTAAGTGAAGCCCTCACTGCACACAAGGATGTGAGTGGCGTGGGTAAGCTTCGTGCAGCCAATGAGTCGGTGGGAAGGAGCCGGCCGCTCACACGTCTCTGCTGAGGGCTCCCCTGGGGTCCTGGTCACCCGGCAACCTGATCCGCAGCACCCCGTGTCTACCCCAGTGGGTGCCGCTTCCTCTCGGTTTGGTGGGGAGAAAAGCAAAATATTGTCCTTCTTTTTAAGAGCTGTTAAGTGGACTGCCAGCTGCAGGAGAACCACAGGAGATGGGGAAAGGATAAATTCCCCATAGGAAGCCACTGAATGCTTCTCAACAAGGCAGATGCTTTGTCCACACCTTTTCCTCCAAGGGTCCCCTTCTCAGGAAATAGAAAGTAAATTTTACTATTCAGCCCTCTGGGAGAGAAATTTTGTTCTTTTACAAATAATACTACCCCCCCAAAAAAAGGATAAACGCTAAAATAATTTAAAGACCCCAAGATCAGTGAGATGTTGGGTATAAAAGAAACATTCGGTTACAGGGGAAAATAAACCCCTGGTCGAATAAATGTACTAATTCTATATGTATTTTGTAAAAGAAACACTTGCTTTAGTAAACCGTAGAGACGCTCAGGATTCAGCCTAAGGTTCTATTTGATTTTCATGGTATCCTCCCTTAAGCAATGGTACATATATCATGTGTATACTTCTAAATTATTTTAAGACTTAAGAAAGTAACTGATGATAGCTCTTTCACCCCTTGTGTTTTTAGAGAGAGGGAAAAATCTGGCAGTATTATTATATCCATTTTTTTAATAGTTAGCCCACGTAATTCTTTCCTTCTGTGGCTGCTCAGTGCTTCGGATATCACACTGGCGTTCGTTTTTAGACTCAAGGCTGGAACTGTGAGGGACGCAGTCAGTGAGAGTGTCATCTGAAGTCCTACCAAGTGCGGCGGAGGGGCCGCATTTCAGGGTTCACGTTGCCTCTCTGGTCTCGGAAGTGTCGGGCTTCCTTTAGGTACGGAAGCCCACGTGACAATGCCTTTCCGTACGTCGCCGTAAACGGAGACAGGGTTCAGTTCGATTCTGCTTCCTCGTTGTCACCCACCGAGCCCACGCGGAGTTCAGCACTAGCACCCGTGAGGCATTGGTTCCTGTGACTCACGGCCAACATTCTCACGTCTCCTATAGAACATGTTGAGACCAGGTGCATGTCCCCTTAGCCTGATGAAGGAGGGAGGCAGGGGACTGTCACCAGTACTTGACACTCTGGGGATGGTGGCAATAGAGAAAACAAAGCCTGTCCCTCCATTGCTGTATGTAGTCCCCAGATGGAACAGTAGCCTGCGCATTTGTCAACAGGGTTTGACCTGCAGAGATCCCCAAGTCTGCCGCTCTTCAGTCACCCACGGAATAGGGTGACTGAAACTTTGCCCAGAAGCTCTCGTGTGCTGACGGCTGTCCTCACACTGAGCAGGGCACCCCTCATCCGGGAGGGTGCGGGGAGGTCAACGCTGAGTGGCCTCGGCCGATGAGCAAGTGTGTTTTTAACGCCGACGCCACTGACGTGTCCGAATAAAAAGGTTCTCTGTGCTTCCTGTCCTTGCCCGCAGACCACAGATGAGCAGGTGCAGCTGCCCAACATCCGGCCCAGCAGGTGGTACCAGTTCCGAGTGGCCGCGGTCAACGTGCACGGGACCCGGGGCTTCACGGCGCCCAGCAAACACTTCCGCTCCTCCAGGGGTTAGTCTCTCCCTCCCCCCGGCCCTTGCCTCCCTCCTGGCACACGTGGAACAGATCCATTGTGTCCCTGTGTCCATGGCTATGGTCGGCCAGCAGGCGGCTGTGCCGTTCCTAGCACATGGGGCCAGGCGTGTTTGATGTGCCACGGAGGTTTGTGCTCAAGGACATTGCAGAAGATGATGACGGCAAGGGGTTTTGTCCGCTTTGGCCTGGTGCTTTTCCACTATCGGGTCCTGCCGAGTCTTGGCCTTAGGCAGTCTGGGTCAAGCGCCGTTCCATTCACTTTTGGAGAGAAAGGTTTAGTTTGGGCCATGGGACATGATGCGATGCAGCTTTTCTCAAAAGGACGGTTACGTTGAGTGTGAACTAGTCTCTTGTATTTCGTTGCATCCAGAACTGGAACCCGTTTGAGGCCACGTTATTGCTCTTGCTCTGTTCAATTCCCACTCCCTTGCTCCTTTAAAACCTCCGTGGAATCGGATAAGTGTCCGTTCCATTAGCCTGTGATCATTGAACTTGGCTATGAAGACGGGATTTCGGAGGCATAGACTAATCCCTTTGTTCACTCTCTAATTGGGAGCTGGCCTCTCGCCTGGACACTGACTTAGCTTTATTTGAGACAGAATGTGTCATGATATTAATGAATACGGTGAGCCACAACATCAGTCCTTTGTCTTTCATTATGGAAGGTCTCCCCTGGCTGGTCTAAGGTGCCATTTTTATGCCGCGATTGGGAAAAGGCATAGGGGTCAGCCAGTCGATCCATTTCTCATTGCCTTATGATATTGCCGCCCCTTTCTCTGCACGGCTGTACGTCTCAGGCAGACACACTACCATCAGAGTGATTTAATAGTTGGGTTCTAGTACAGACTATGTAGGGGATGTTTAACTCCTTTGGACAAAGTCCTTTGGAAAAAGGAAAGGCACCCATTCCCCCGCCCAGGCAAGTACACTGAGCACACTCTAAGGTGAAATGACAAATGAAGGCGTTCAGCCTTGTCCTAAGAGGACGTGTCAGCAGGTGTGACGATTTGGAGAGGCACGCAAAATAAGGAAATTCACAGGGGTTCGGGGGCTGGGATCTGTAGGGTTCGAGAGCCCTTCACCTTGAGTTTCACGGTTCCCACGGGACCCAGGTGCGAATGGTCACCATCCGTTGTGCCTGCAGGGTGTGGTCTGTGGCCTCGGGTTAAGGCTGCAGGTTCAGACGTCAGGTACCCACAGTGCATGGCTTCTGCAGACACATGCACATGACCTGTACGAGTCAGGCGGGACCTGACGCCCCCAGACCGGGCCCAGGGCGCCTGTTGCGGCGGCGCACTGCCTTCCCGGCCTCCCTTCTGGGGAAGCGGCCAGGCCACACCGGCTCCGGCCTTCCCATGGTCTCTGAGCACCTTCCAGAACAAGAACTGCCACCCGCGATGTTAAACGGGCTGTGGTGGAGTGAACACGCACCATTTCTGAGACGTCACGGTCCCCGTTCAAAGGGTCTGTTTTCTGCTTGCCAGACCTCCACCTGCGCACTTCTTGCCGACCCAAAATGCCCGCACAGCCCTGGCCCGGTGGGGGTAGAATCGGCTACAAATGGGGCAGAATCGGCTGTGCGTGTCTGGGAGATGTTTTGGCCAGCACCAGTGGAGCACCCCTCCCAAAGCCTGGGCTGGAGGCCTGGGTTCTCGGTGCACTTGAGAAAGCAGCAAGTAGACCAACCGCTTCCTAACCTCTTAATGGTGACTGCAGAGTCCCCAAACAGGGTGCGTTTTTACCCCACAAAAGCCCCTTTCTTCCCGCTGGGCGCCAGAAGCCAAGCGATAGCAGTTCTAAGGCTCCCGGTGGTTTAAAATCGCTTTAAGCCAGAGTTACTCCTTCGAAAGTATTTCTCTGCCCGAAGGGTAAGCAATTATCTGTGTGTTTGAGTTGGGTAGGGGACCTGCCTTCATCATCAAAGACGGAGGAGCCCAAGCAGGGGACAGAAGGCTTTCTGCCGACCGCGAACACCTCTGAAAAACACACGTAAAACGAAGCAGAAAAAGAAAAAGCACTGGATGGAATGGGTTTCATTAACTTTAGGCTCTTGGCCTGGTGTTCATGGGCCTTGAATCGTGTTGATTTTCACGGAAAACCCCAAATTCTTGTAATTCTCTTTTTTATGGTGATGTTTAAACACAAAATTAGCCTGTTGCTTGGCCAGCATGGGTTGGCTACTCGGTAACTTAATTTCCTTTTAACGCCTTTGTTTTTTCAAAACTTAATCCTAACGCCTTCGGAGACGTATTTTTGTAGCAACTTGTGAGTCGTTCATAGATTGGTAACTCAATGTCACGCTTTTTCTTTTTGACATGAATACTGGTTTGGGATGTTTTTTTATTGCTAAGCCTTACCTTTCCCCAGGGGAAAAAATTTGCATGGTGGTAGAAAGGGTAAAATCAGTCATTTCTGCTGGCAGTGAAAAGGGCCGAGGTTGGGATGATTTCAACACTCGCTTATTTAAATTCTCTATATTGCCTTTGACCCTGTGCCGGACAAGGAATATTGGCTTCAGCATTAAGAAATTGAACTTACCAGTCCTATAATGGTCTAATGTGCAAATGTTCCTTTTTGCTTTTTTGCCCCGTTACGTACAAAGGGAAGTGGCTGTCCCTCACAGAGTGAGAGTCACTGTCCTTGGTTCCTCCTGGGAAAAGGGTTCTTTCAGCCACCCAGCCTGCCAGGGCCTGAGGCCTCGGGTCCCTATCCCACGCATGTGGGGCGGGTCCTCAGCATCGTCGGAACACGAGGTGTGGAACTGTCTGTATTCACAAGGATGTGGGCATGCGCAGCTGCCCCCTCACAGATTCTGAAGCCCACGCAGGCCACAGCGTGCAGGGTGGGGGGTGGAGGACACAGGACAGAGGACTCATGCCCCTGGACAGCAGTGTGGTGATTGCAGGAGGGGGCGGGGCAAAAGGGGACTGAATGGTAATGAGAAAACACCCATTTAAATACCATTTAGGTGGTTCGTATACACTGTCTCCTTTCCACCTCTCTGCAACCGTTGCTCTCCGCCTTGTCCCTTGAGCACTCCTCGGCTCTGTCCAGAGGCGGGGAAGGTGCCGCAGTTAACAGGCAGCGCTGTCTGCCAGCCTGCCTGGGGCCCCCTCCCAGTCAGAGGGGGCTTTCTGCTCACAGGGGACAGGCAGGGGCGCTGCGGGGTCCGTGGGGCACTCCTTTCTGGTGAGACTTCCCACCGGTGCAGTCGTAGGTCCTGCCCTTTTCCGAGGGGGACTGGTGCTCTCGCTGGTCACCTGACTCACCGTGGGCTGCAAGTCATCCCATCGCGCTGAACCTTCCTTTGTCACTCATGGGTTATCCACAGAAGCTGCAGGGACGGAACCTTCAGTCTGTCAGAATCCTCAGCATTCCGTCTTTTGCCGAAAGCACAGCTCACGATGACACATCCAGGCGACTACTCCGGGTGCAAGGCTGGAGTGGGATGCATGTGCCAACCTCGGTTGCATTAAACGTCCCACAGATGGAGTCTGAGTGGGAGCTAAGGCGGCCTCCCTGCTTCCGTCACCGTGGACAGCATGTTTGTTTTCTGCGTCCTGAAGCGTGTTTCTGCGGACAGTGGCAGACCACAAGGACAGGGAGCCCATGCAGCCGAACAGGGAGGGACCCTCGGATGTAAGCCTCAGATGGACGGGTGGGGAGGCCACTGACCCTCCCCAGGTGCGTGCGTCTGACCCTCGCACCCCACACTCTCGCACCCATGAATTATCCTCAGAACCTTGATGTCCTCATCTGTAAAATGGGAACAAAGCCCTGACGTTTCATCGCATTTAATCCCCCAGGGTGACCATCCGTTTATAGAATCAGAAAGTCACAGTGCACCGTCAAATTTCACAAAGTTCTCGGTGTCAATGCTTTTTGAAGACTCCAGGTCTGGACTTGACAACTGATGGCCGTGTCCCAAATTCTGCCTGCTGCCTGCTATTGCTGATACAGTTTTCTTGGCACACAGGCGTGGTCATTTGTTTGCCTTTTTCCGTGGCTGCTCTGAGTGACAGGGGCAGAGCTGAGGACCCGCAACGGTGACTATGCTGCGTGCAGCTGTGTCCTGTCTAAGGCTTGGTCACCTCCAGAAGGTTCCAAACGCTGGCTGAGCATCCCTTGATCACATTGTCACGTCACGCGCCTGCATTAGCCACTTAACGCAGGGAGCGACTGTGCGATGTTCTTCTTTTTAAAGCTGAAGTAGCCAGCCCACCCTGCACTCCTCACGTGAGGTGTGTCCAGAAATCATCCAGTCACGTGATATGCAAAATACACTTTTGAAGAAGACACAAGATACAAGAAGCATTGTCTACAGGACAGTCACACCTCAGTGCTTTTCACAGTAGGCACCTGGGGACCTCACACAGTTCTCCCAACCACCATCGGCTGCCCTGTTATATTTTCCTGAATCTCATTGATGGTCTGAAATCTCTTCCCTTTCAAAGGTGATTTTAGTTTTGGGAAATGCCAGTAGTCACAGGACACCATACCTGGGTTGTGGAGGGAGCTGAGTCACCTGGGTGATTGGATGTTTCCCCAAAAAAGTCTGCACGAGATGCAATGCACGAGCAGGCTTGTGGTCTTGATGAAGCTGCCAATCACCAGTTGCCCACAGCTGCAGCCTTCAGACTCATCCAAATAGTTTCAGTGGAGGGATGTGGAAGCTGAACACAAAATTGGATGCGGATTCATTGCTCTACTCGCTCAGTCATTTTGAGTGCGACAACCACACAGGACACAGGCTCACTCAACAGCGTCTACCACCCCCACTGACTAGTACAGTGAGGTCGTCATTGTTCACGCATGTGCATTCCAGTCCACTCTCCTTGGCTGCCAAATCCCATTAATGTCGCACAAACTTTTCTTATTGCATTTACCGTGGCTGGACTTTTTCTGGACAGACCTCCTTGTTTCTCAGAGAAAAGCAAGCGATTTTTGAGAGAAACTCATGTTTCCGTCATTCCGTAAACACGAGTCACCCTGAGAGTGAACCGTGGGCATCTTTCCTTCAGTCTGTTTCACGCACATCCAGGGAGCCGTGGTTTGGCTGCCCCTCCACCGCTGGTGGCCCCACCACTGGAGTTGGTGACGGCGTGTACCGGGGGACCACACAACCATCGGGAACCCCTCCTGGTGAGCAGCCTCTACACCCGCCCCATCTGTGCACAGAGATGAACACAGACCCTCTAGCGTAACTCACATGTAGTCATTTTCCTGCATACGTTTCAGAGGAGGTGGTGGTGTCATCATTGCAGAATCTAATCTCTCTCGACAGCTGAGACGGCTTTGGTCTCTGCAGCAAACTGGACACAGACAGATCACGAGAATGGATGGTGCCGCGTGCCATCAATTTGTGCTGGGATAGAATGGGGCTTGTTTGTGTTTGTGCGGCTCGCTGCCCCTCTTACCCACTAACGTGAAACGGCTCCCTACGCAACCTGGCTTTCTTTTCCTCCTCACAGTCTCCAGAGGCTAGGCTACGGTGCTTGCCCACTGAGTGCCAAGCAACCTAAATCGGATTGGACTGTGTTTCGTAGAAATGTGTCCGTCTTGGTACCAGGCTACTTTGGCTGGGTTGTCACGGTGTGGAAGTGCCTAGAAGGGTCTTCTGTCCGTGAGGTGCAGGCTGAAAGGGGGATGTTACTTCCCGCTCGTCCGCAGCTGCGGAACCTGGGAAGGGCAGCCCTCCCTGAGGGCGCCCTGCGGTCGGCACACGCGCAGAGCTGTGTTCGGGGCCGCCTGGGCCCTCACACATGTGTCCTCCCCCTGGGATTGCAGACCCGTCCGCCCCTCCCGCTCCGGCCAACCTGCGGCTCGCCAACGCCAGCACCCACAGTGACGGGACGGTGACCGTGACCCTGGTGTGGGACGTCCCTGAGGAGGCAGATGTCCCTGTGCATCACTACAAAGTGTTCTGGAGCTGGACCGTCAGCAGCAAGTCCCTCGTCCCCACGAGGAAGAAGCGGAGGAAGACTACGGACGGGGTAAGTGAGAGCCGAGGGGGAAGGGGAGTGTCTTCTCGCGGGAGCGGGGCACTTGACTTCCGACAGGGGCATCTGCGGAGCTAAGACAGGAAGGACACGCAGGGTCCCACATCTCTCGTCTGGAGCCAGGAGGGTCCAGAATGCAGCACTGTGCCAACTGTTTGGTCTTTGCAACCCACTGAATGGCGTCCATGGGCCCTACTCACCTCCTAAAGGCCGTCTCGACTCCACAAAGGAAAGCAGCAAAGCGTAGCTTCATCTCACGTGTCTGGTCGTAGAAGAGGATGTGTCCATGGTGTCCCTCACGCGTGGGTCTGTTGACCTCGTTTATGGGAGAGCCTTGCGGTCGGAGCGCGGAGCTCCCTGGCGTCTGTGTGGCAGGCTGTTTTCATCATGTGTCATCAGCAGGACAGGAACTGCATGTTCGTCTGACAACATGCTTCTCTCACCAGGGAAGAGAACTCGCAAGGCTGTTTCCCAGGTGCTGAGAAATAAAATCTGTACGGCAGCACTTTCTGCAGGGAGATGTCAGGGCAGCGAACATTCCAGACCCGGAGAAATGCTTGGTGTGTCAGGAGTGAATTGGGTTCCTCCGGGTACACACTCTCTTATCGTGTTGTTCTAGAACTGACCTAAACCCCTTCCTCCTGACTTTCTAAAGTTCAGGCTCCTAAGTGAGTTAATGTTTGGATGTGTTTCAAAAAGGAGAGCCAAAAAAAAATTTTTTTTGGAACTGAAGATTCCATGAGCGGTGCCATCCGGAATTATAAAATGTGTCTTTGAAAGGCATCCCTGATGTTTAGCTGCGATCCTGGTTGGGTTTCATTTTTAAGAAACTTAATGGCAGTTGCATCTTTGATGAACTTTGCTGGACTTCTAACATAATAGCTGGTAACACACGCTGATCTAGAAAGAGATCCCTGCTATCACAACAGTCTATATATTGATTGATTTGAGAGAGAGAGAGAGAGATTTGTTGTTCCAAGTACGCATTTATCGGTTGATTCTTGCATGTGCCCTGCTGACCAGGGACTGAACCTGCAACCTTGGTGTATTGGGACAGAGCCGCCGGGCCAGGGCCACCATCAATGGGACTTAAAAAGAAAGACTCAACATGATAACACACTGCCAGATGCCATGAGCATTACTAACCAAGCAACATCAAGAAGTCACTAGGGAAGTTTGCAATTTATTCCTATGATATACCAATCAGATCAGACATGAACAGCAAAGCTAACTTATTTGAGTTGTCAATGGGTGCAGAGCACCACAGACCATTGATCACCACCTCATGCCGGTGACGTATTTTGGGGTGCACAAGGAGCACGCTGAGGCAGGTCACCAGAGTCACTAATGTTCCCAACACTAACATTTCACTAAAGGAGAATTAGGGTGAGAAACTCGGGAAATGCTGAAGAATTTGAGAAACGACGGAATTTTCTTTCTGGGAATCCGTGGCTTCGCCTTCCCTGAGGTCTCAGCCTGACGTCTTTGGTAAACCAGGAGGAGAGGTTTCCCAGGAGACGCTGTTTGTGAAGTGGGTTTTCGTCTCCTGGTTTGGAGATGGCCCTTCACGGAGAGCGAAACGCAACCCAAGCAGAACCCTCACCCGAAAGGAAGCAGGGTCAACACCGTTTGCAGGAGTCCCAAAGCCCTGAAGACAAAGAAAATCGAATGAGTGCTGATATTAACGGAGATAATGGCAGGAAAACATGAGTGCGCGTTTCGCCAGGCTGACGCTGTCCTTCACCACTGGGTGGACATGCGCTCACAGGGCATTTGAAGTGGTTATCAAAGCCCTGCCGTGAATCCCGTTTACGATGTCCCCAGGAAGGAGCCCAGCGGAGCCTCTGTGGGGCTGACTTCATTTCCGACAGCCCCCCTTTCTCTGCGAGGTGGACTCCGGAGAGGGGCGTGGTCAGAATTCTTCATTGCCCTTGCCACTCCAGAGGGTTGAGAACACGACCTCCAAAAACCATGTTTTGGCCTGTCTATGAAACGTATCTTGAGCCAGAGCTAAACGGGATTTTCGGGTGTTCAGCACGAGACACGTGTAAGCGCTTGGAGAAGGGGAAGGCAGTAGAGGAAGCAGCCAGGGTGCCGGGAGGGGCTTCTGAAGGGTGGGGTGTGTGTCCGTCATTTGCAGACGCAGAGCGCCGTGGCCCTGGAGAGGCTGCAGCCGGACTGGGAGTACACAGCGGAGCTGCAGGCCATCGCCTACTGGGGCCAGACCCGCCTCAAGAGCGCCAAGGTCGCCCTGCGCTTCACCCCCTCGCACGCGGCCGGCCACAGTAAGTGCCTTCCGATTCACCGGGTTCCCGCGTGGCCAGCCGACGGGCAGCGGACAGTGCGGGGAGAGGGGGTGCTTTATGTGCAGGAGGCTTCCACGGCCTTCACGTGTTCAGAGGCGTGTAAACACGACTGCACAGGGACCAGCGTGTGCCATACCCGAAGTCTTCCTTCCCTGCAACACCCTTTCCTGCTCCAAGTGCCCCCACCGCACACACGGCTCCACCGTCCATTCTTCTGCCGCAGCCAAGACGCAAAGGCCATTCTCCACCTCGTCCCTCCTTTCCCTCCCAAATGCAGCTCTTTAGATGCCCCCTGTGTCCCTCAGCGCACGTTCTGTGTGGGACCCTGTTCCCTGTAGGGACCGTGTCACCCCTCTCTCACGAAACTGGAATAACCTCTGAGCGAGTAGTTCTGTCCCCAACTCTTTCTCCCACACGCAGCCCCCTGAGCTCACTGAGTCCTGCTCCTCCCAGCCTCTCGGCCGCGATGAGGAACCTTTCCCCCTCACGGGCGTGAAACAGTCTGCCCCGTCGTCGGAGGACACGGACCCTGCCCCACTGCCATGCTCTGCGGTGTGAGGGGCAGCACCCTCCCTTTTCCACATCACGGTGGGGACTCCACGTGTGGGCCCTCGCCCACCTCTCCCCTGCTCGGGAAACAGCACCCACGGAACCGAGCTCTCGGGTCACTCGGAGACCGTGCGTCATCCTCTGTCTGTGTCCACCCTCGTCCATTACTCCACGGGGCACGAGCCTGTGCTCATCTACAGCACGGCCCCGTAGGGGTGTGCAAAACGGTTGCTCCCTCTTCCCCTCCTCCCTGCAGCCTCAGCCCACTCGTTCACCTTCTCCCTGCCTACCCACAACCTCGGCCAAGCCCTCCGCCTTGGGTTCACTCTTCGTGTTTATTTACATCACATTCTAATCCTCTTCACCTCTCAGAGACTGTTCTGTTGTAAAGACGAGGACCAGAAACGTAATAACAGGAAACTGAAAACAGAAGTCGGGGCACCGACTGTGCGTCAGAACACACAGCACTCGGGTCTCGGGGGGGGCTTGCAGAAGGGGCCCGCCTGGCACAGGGGCGAGCAGGGTGGAGCCGAACACACGCCAGGGTTTTGCATCCCTGTGCTGATGGTATACGGTCTCATAAACACAAGGGTACGACTTGTCCAGGGACACTCTGTATTTCACCAAGAACCCCCTGGAAATGAGGAGTCATTGCAACTTTATGGCATCAGCAAGGGACATGGTACTTTATAGGAGGCAGAACCGCAAATGCCAGCATAGAAATGACTTTGTGCATTACGCCCTTCCGGGCGTGGCGGCCATTACTAAATAGATGTTTTACTAGTAAATAGTCCCGTGAGGCGAAGGTTGGGTGCTTTCATGAAAAGGTGCCTTAAGGGAAGAAAGGCCCAGCGCTGTCTTTGTGGAAATGCACCTTGCGTTTGGGGGACGTGAGAGGGGTGTGTCCACAGCCTACAGGTTTCACGGGTTTTGGAGTGGTCCCCTGTGGCCGGAATATTCTACCTCTGCCAAGTAAGAATGGCCTGGACAGAAAATCCCGTGCATCTCTTGACCTGTAAATGTCATCAAAGTTCTGACATCTGAGAACACAGCAGAGCAGCTGGATTCTGCAAACTCTGAGGGCTACTAAAGAGTCCAGCGTCCACGCCGGTGTCCTGCTCTGGGCCCGACCGGTGCCCGGGCTCCGTACAGGAGGGGGCACACTGCCTTTCTGAGAGGTGGTCGGTGACGCTCTGATTCAGCATCATTAATAGGTGTGTGGACTTTGGTCACACAAGCTCCAGAAATGCTCGGGATGTCCTAAGTTGGAGAAGGATGAAGGTGCCTTCGGTGGTGGCAATGAGCTGAGTTCTGGAGGCCACAAGGACGGGAGTGGGCCACCCACTGTGGGGCCAGAGGGGTGGCACTTTCAGTCCCCCCCCCACCCCTTTCTGGGGAGGCGAGAGGGGCTGGATATGGGGAGAATCTCCAAGGACCAAGGCTAATCAGGCCTGTGTCATGAAGTCCCCATGAGAGCACCAGGGCGGGGTTGCCGAGTCTGGGGCTGGTGAGCTGTGAGATTTGGGGAGAGGGGGGTGCCCAGGATGGGCACAGAGCTTTGCCAACTGTCCGCCCCTTCCCACACTCCTTGCCCCATGTGCCTCCCCCATCTGGCCGGTCCTGAGTTGCCTCCTTTGTAGTAGAGAGATGCGTTTCTCTGAGCTCCGTGAGCTGCTCCAGCGCACGGCTGGGGCCCGAGGAAGGGTCGGGGGATCTGTGATCTCTACGGCCTGTCTGCCCCAGCCCCAGCTGTAACCTGCACTTGGAAGTGTTGTCTCAAGTGCATGGGGTCGGCAAGGTGGCCTTGGGGGCGGCGCCCTCCCCGTGTGAGACCCGCAGTCCTGGGGAAGCCTGTGGCGGTGTGGAGCAAAGCCCTGAACTGCCTTTGGGCAAAGAGCCCTTCACCCTAACAAATGTCTCTCAGTGATGCAAACTTCTATGTGCGTTATGTAACCTAAGATGCTCTGTGAACCTGACTTCTGTAGGCATCCACTCCCTCTCAGTGAGGTCCCCAGATGGGTGGCGGAAGGAAGGATGTACCCCTGGAAGGAAGAGCAGGCGGGCGACGTAGTTTTTCCTCACGCCCCTCGGTCTCCCCTGACTGAACATCGGGCATCATGTCCCCATCCGTCCACATCTCTCCCCCTTCCCCCCAGCATCCCAAGCAGGCAAACTGCTCGGCTCCCTCAGAAGCCGCTGCGTAACCCATTTGTTATCAGTCTACCCCCAGGTCAGCTTACCCTGCTCTCTCTCCAAGGGCCGCGGGGAATTCCCACAGCACAGGAGTCTTACAGCACAGGGCAGATTCTCTGACCGTGCCATTCCAGCACCAGGCAGTGGGGAAGGGAGCGGTCTGAGACCAGCGGGACTGTGTTCTTATCCTTAACGCTGACCCCTGCAAGCCGCCACCTGGCTTCTAACAGGAGGCGGCCCAGGGGCACAGAGGAAGGGACACAGGACCGGAGCTGGCCCCGGGACGCCATCCCTGCTTTGTGACCGCGTCAGCCACCGGGTGATCCTGGACACATTGTTGGCTCTTAAACACGTGCCTGCCGATTCCCCTGTTTTGGGCATCAGCAAACAGCAGCCTGCAGACCGCATCCAGCCCCTCCCTCTGCGTTTGTAAATAAAAGGTGGGTGGTACATGGCACGCTCACTTGTGGCTGCTTTTCGGCTGTCTGGACAGCGGCCGTGCTGGCAGAGATGGTGCAACCACAGAGCCCAAAAGGCGTTCGCTCCAGCCGTCCCCGAGGAGGTGCGAAGCCTCGCTGTGTACCTTCCAACGGCTCCGTGAGTTTGCGTGCAATGCTGGCACAGCTCAGCATGTGCACACCTGGAAAGTGGCATTGTTGCTGCTGCCACAACGGAGGAAAAGGCACCCTCCACAGCCGTGCTGGCGCCCGAGGCCAGGGATTAGGGTGCAAACAACTCAACAGCCCCGGCAAATATTTGGTAAGAGCTCTAGACGCTCCAAACCACAGATGTCTTTGTGTATTTCGTCTCCTACGTAATGTATTAAGCAACTGCTCTGTGAGTGTCCCTGAGCAAGGCTGTGGGCATCCCTGGGAGATAAAAATAAATCTGCTCACGGGTCACTGGAAGAACAAATTAAAGGGCAAAACAGTCGTTTCAAACTGGGAAGTCATATGAGCGCCGAAGATGGCTTTCCTCCCCTTGACCTTGGCCCGCCAGTGAGGACAGCTTCCCCAAAGTTTTGCAGGACAGCAGTCGTGCTGAACATCCTGAGCCACAGGAACAGGAAATGGAGTGTCCCGGGAGGCCAGCGATCCCAGCAGTGAAGGGGCCGGGGGAAGTGGACAGTCAGAAAAACCCACCAGAAAACTAGTCATTGTGCCCACCCGTTCTCACCTTTCCTACCCTGGCGGAACAGCCGTGTGGGAGATGCTGGCTCCTCATTTCCGAAGGGCAATGAGCCGTGGGCAGCTCCTTCCCTCCCAGCGCCGCTCCCAGAGCCAGCCTGGTCCCTTCAGGGCGGTCCTGCCCCGCCGGCGGCTCCCCCCTGCACACAGCTCCTCCGCTGTCTCAACAGCCCTCGGGTCAAAAGTGTCATGTCTGCAGCCCCAACTCTGCACCTGGCTCCTCGGATGCGCTCACTAAATGTTTACTGAACGAACGAACGAGGGAAGGAGCCCTGCATTCCTTCCCCGATCTCACCGATGGTTGCCATGGCATTTTCTTTCCTGGCTGAGGATTTTATCCACTCGTCTGTCTGCTGATGCACACTTAGCTTTCAAGTCTTCACTATTGCAAGTAACACCACAATAAACCTGGGGATGCGTGTGTTCTTTGGGATTGGTGTCTTGGTTTTTCTTTTTCAGATGTATTTGTAGCGGTGGAATTGCTGGGTCGAAAGGCAGTTTCATCTTTTGATACTTTTGTGGAAACTCCGTTCTGTTTTCCTTAGTGGCTGCACCAGTCTGCACTCCCACCCACAGTGCACAAGGGTCCCCTTTTCTCCACACCCTCTCCAACACTTGTTTGTTGATTTGTTCGTGATGGCCATTCTCTCCGGGGTGAAGCGGTATCTCATTGTGGCTTTAATTGCGTCTCTCTGATGGCTAGCGATATTGAGCATCTTTTTACATGTCTTAATATTTCACGTGAGTACCAGTGCACGTGAGCACGTGTGTCGCTCTTCGAACTCCATGCAGCTCGCTGCTGGCTGCTGAGGCTGCCCTGGAAGCCGCCGGGTTGATGGGATCTCTGCCCCTCATGGCTAACATCACAAACTTGAACCATCTTTCCACTGAGGGCTGCATACCTGGGATGGGCGGCTGCTGATGGTGCTTCTGCGCGCAGTTCTCTATACCGTTTTCGTGAAATGGCGTTTAATATCCCTTGGTTGACCGCCTCCCCAACTTCAAAAACTGTGCGATGAGAAACGCCGTCTATACCTGTTGTCTAAGTGAGAGCCTCCTCCAGGTGAATACAGTGAGGACCCTTGGAAACTCCCGGAGTCATGTCTGTTAGAACCGTGGGTCTTGCGGCGTATTTGGCAGGGGAGGGCATCACCAGGACAGAATCTTCAGGGCGCTCACATCGGCCTTGAGGACGTAGGCAGCGAGTGGGAAGCAGTCACCGGGAAGTTCCATGCCCTGAGACTCACAGCAGGGCTGGCGATTCTTTTTTCACGAGGATGCCAGAGCGCTGTGCTTTGTTGCAGAACATCCGGGGAAGAGCAGGATGGGCATGGTGCGGGCACAGACCGCCCTCCAGGGCCGCCACCCCGCTCGCCTGCTGGAGATCGGCGCGCCCTTCTACCAGGACAGCCAGCTGCAGGTCAAGGTGTACTGGAAGAAGACCGAAGGTAGGCCCAGGGCCCCGTCTGCTTGCCACGGGCTTTAAGGCTCCCAGCCACGGGCGTGTCCTTGGGGAAGCTGGTGTCACGCAACGGCATTGATGATGGGGGGGGGGACAGCAGCCGGACAGAGCGCTGGCTTTTATCGATTGCCTGGCCATTCCGCCCTGGCCAGGCGGCCCTGTGGGTTAGAGTGTCATCTGTACAGCAAGAGGGTATGGGTTTGAACCCCGGTGAGGACACACACCGGGTTATGGGTTCTGTCCCCCGGGGCAGGGGGCGTGCACAGAGGCAACCAACTGGCATTTCTCTCTCACATCGATGTTTCTCTCCTTCTCTCTCTCTCTCTGTTGCACATTCTCTAATAAAAACATCCTCGAGCGATGGAAACATTATAACATAAAAGGAAATGAAAGCCTTGCTCTTCTGAAGCACCAGTGAGCTCTCAGACCCGGGAGTCTCTCTCCCCCTTTGAGATGGGCAGCAGCTGCGGCTGAAATGCTAGCAGTCAGGGCCCCTGAGCTGTTATCCTCTTGTCCTTGCTAGGAGGCCGGTCTTGCGTCCACAGCAGGCAATGTGTTTGTTAGTTTGCACTGCAACTGCTGGTTTGCGTGAAGTGTTTATTTTTTTAAAATGCCCACAACTGAAATAATTTTGAAAACTGAGCGCACGTCACGGGAATGGCATTTCAGTGGCACCCTTTGGGAGTGGCCGTGTGTGGCACTCAGGGTGGGTACATGCATGAATTGGTGGGAAGGAGAGATCGTGTAAAGATTTCTATGACGGAAGCCCACCACAAACATGGCGGTGTATTGACTGGTGGATAAAGCCGTGAGCACAGACTGCTGGCAACCCCACTCTGCGTGGGCCCCAGAAGTCAGACACAGGGTCTGCTACTTCCATATCCACAGCGGTTTTATAACCGTGACTGTGGTTCTAAAACCACAGCAGGGTCTCCCCGCTGGGAGAATGATCCTCCAGGCACCCGGGTCCTGGGTGAGCCCTGGAAAGCACGGCTGCTGTGGGTGTACGTGAAGATGCCTCACAGCCGCAAGTCTAGGAGATGGTGTGTTGACCTGGATGCCATTGCCAAGTGCAGGAGACGCTGCAGTTCAGGCAGAGCAAGGCTGGCAGAGCAGCACACAGCCGTGGCCAAGAAGTGCGAGGACACGGTGTTGTGGGAGCAGGGAGCTGTGTCCCCAGTCCCCTCTGATGACAGGACTTGCATAGTGGTGATGGGGCAGGCGTTCCCTGTGAGTGGCTGGTGCTTCCTGGTCTAGTGTGGGGCAGAGGGGAGGTTCAAGAGCCTCTCTATCACCTTCATCAGAAAAGGGTCAGGGTCTGAGACTTGCAGTGTGGACTCCCCAGAGGGAGGACGGTAACTGCGTCTGAGGGCCGCCTGGTCTTGTAGGAATGGGCTCACCGTGGACACTGCTCCTAGGTTATTCTCAAGGCATTGCTGCAGCCCCGGCCGGCCAGTGCGGCTCGGTGGGTGGGAGCCTTGTCCTGTAAACCCAAAGGCTCGGGGTGTGGTCCCTGGTCACGGCGGAAACAGCAAGCAAGCCATTCGTCATCTCTGAAGTTCATGTCTCTTCTCCTCTCTCCCCTCCCCTCCCCTCCCCTCCCCCTCCCCTCCCCTCCCCTTTCTCTGTCACTCAAAGCAATCAGCAAGTCCTTGGGTGAACATTAAAAAAAAAGACACATCATTGGAGTTTTTTTTGCTCTGACTGATTAATAATTTTTTCTACCTAGTTCTTGTATTTCAAAAAGTTTCTTTGGGTTCAGTGGAGTATGCTTTTGGCTGACTTCAGTCTTAATAACGAAACAATACCCAGGAGGTGGGGCCCCCGTGTGCCCCTGTGCTTGGTGGGCGCACCTGGGGACCCCTGCAGAACTTGGGTTTCCTCCTCGCTGTTCATGCCGCCCTGCGTTGAGAGCGTGGCGCTGAGTGGAATGGGACTCCCGACTGTGTGGTTTCTGAGCTGTGTCCGACCTTGCAGACGCCAGCGTGAGTCGGTACCACGTGCGGTGGCTCCCCGAGGCCTGTGCGCACAACGAGACCGCTGGGCCGCGGTCCTCGTCGGCCACGACGCAGGTGAGTCCACGGTCAGGCCGCTCTGTTCCAAACAGCAGCTGCCGCACTCCCACAGTCTGAGCACAAATCTGCCCCTAGGGACGTGCGTCAGTGGTCTGGCCCGTGGGCAGGGCCAACTCCCAGACTCGCTCTGGAACCGGCGAGGCCCCGGAGATTGGAAAAGTGACAGTCCCCCTGCTCATGCTGCCTTTCACTTGTTCGCCACCGAACTCGGGCAGCTCATTCCACGTCAGCACAGCAGCAGGGCCTGAGTGCAGATGTCTCAGGGGGCGCCCGGGTCTCAGGGACCACTCGGCGGGTCTCAGGGAATACGGAGTGGTTCTGAGGGTTTCCCAGCTCCATCCGTGCTGACAGCAGGGGTTCCCGTGGCTGCTCTGATGTCCATTCCCACCATTCTGTTTCATTCTGCCTGGCCGGTCCAGCCAGGGAGGGAGCTTCCCGGGGGTAGCTCATGAAAGCATGGGCAGAGTCTCCTTCGTCCTTGTCATGAGAGCCACACTGCAGCCAGTCTTATCTCCTGCCAACATTTCCCTTATCCCTAGTGACACTCACCGCCCCCACATTCCTCTCTCCGGCTCTAGGAAAACTACATAATTCTGCAAGATCTATCGTTTTCCTGCAAGTATCAGGTCACCGTGCAGCCCGCGGGGCCGAAGGGGCACTTGAAGGCACAGACGGTCTTTTTCAGGACACCGCCCTGCTCTGCGCTGAAGGGGAAGAGCCGCGGGCACACCAGCTGCCCTGGGCACGGACACGCAGGTGCGTCGGACTGGGGCTTCTGAGCACCCAGCCAGGGCGTCGGCCACCCCGCAAACGTGCCCCATGGGCTTCCACAGCAGCCCCGGACAGAAAGGACCCCGGTGTGGAGGTTCCTTCTATGTATAAATGTAACATATACAAGTGGTTGCAACACTGTAACCATTATGGGACAATGCATGTATACGTGTGATGCATTATTCCGTAATGGTTACAGTGTTGCAAAGACGCCCTTTGCTGGCCACGTGGTCCCTCCAGGCGCGAAGACTAACGCCGGTGGACTGCTTGTGTTGGGTGTGCTTTGTGGGAGTGGCTCCGTTCTCGTCCTGCCCCTTGCCGTGTGGGCTGTTCATCCACATGGTCCACACCCCATGCCTTCCCCTCCATCCCGTTGTCCTGAGAAAGGCCTTGTCTGCCTTCCTGGGCCTCTGCAACGCCCTGAGTCCCCTCAGCCCCCCTAGTCACTCGAAATAACTTCAGCATCTCCCGTCTCCGTTGCAGTCACGTCCATTCTGGGGGAAATGGCCAAGCCTCGCCAGATTTCAGAGTTCCTCCTCCCCTGTCTCCCATCCACACAGCCGGATTCTAAAAACAAGCCCCAAAGGGTTAGACACACTTGGCAGGAAGCTGCACAGTGGGGGGGGGGGTCCTGCTCAGCCACTGTCCCCACATGACAGAGTCGAGTGTCTGAAGCTGCTCTGCGGGACCACTGAGGTCACGTAGCTTCTGCCTGCTCTGCAGATGGGCTGCCCGGCGCATCGACCGGGGCCACTTCCGCTCCGTCCCCGGGAACCTGACCCTGCTTTTCCTCCATGAATCGCTCCAGGTCACGACCTCCCCAAAGTGCCGGCCAAGCCGGAGAACCTGTCCGCTTCCTTCGCCATCCAGAACGCGAACGTCACGGGCCACTTCTCGTGGAAGATGGCCCAGGCCGGCCTCTCTCCGCCCAGGACCGGCTTCCAGGTGACGTGGGCGGAGGTGACGACGGAGAGCAGGCCGAACAGCCTGCCAAACAGCATCATCTCCCAGTCGCAGATCCTGCCCGCGGTAGGTGCCCTGCGCTTCCCCGTCCACGCTGCTGCCGGCGATCACTGCTCACGCCCAGTGACCGGCAGGGTCCCCTCTTTCTGTCACCATGCGCCATAGTCCTGAGTTCCGCCTTCCTTCCCTGTAAACACTTTATTTTGCAAGTGAGCAGACCAGACTGTCACTGTGAGTAGAATAAACTTGCCTCTGCATTATATAGACCTGGTCCCGTCTACACTGGAGATGAGTCGCTTCCCCATTTCTCTGGCCTCTGTTGGCCCCTGTCCCTCCAGGCCAAGCGGACATGCTCAGTGAGAAGTGTTAATTGGGGAGAAAACAGCTAAAAGCAAGCTTCTTGCTTCCCCTCAGTGGTCCCGTTCCAATACGGCCTGTCTTCCAGGACGCTTCATTCCTTGGCTCAGAAATAAAAGCCTCCACAGGGGGGCTTGGGCTCTCTTTAAAAATGCCCTTACAATGTCCTAGTCCTGCTCAGACAAAAAAAGAAGAAAAGCAAAGCAACTTAAACCCCAGAAGGAAAGAGTGCAGGGAATGAGAGAGCTGTTGTTCTGTAAACGGGTTAGATTTCAGGAGCCCTTGGAAAACTCAGCCGTGTGGGTCTCCACACACGCATGTGCCGCGCCCTCATGGATACTGTGCCTTCGAAGGAGAGCAGTGGGCTCGTGCACGGAAATGGGGCGATGGGGCATTCACATCACGGCATGTGGCCTTGGAGACGGGACACGTGGGAGAGACTGGTGTTGGGGGTGAACTGCGTGGCGAGCCCCGAGAACTGGCACCTCACGCGGCGGGGCTCCGCCCAGGGTCTCAGGCCACCAGGGACACGTCTAGGAGCCATGGCGTCCCCACGAGGGACGGTCCCCAAGTACGCATCCCTGGCTGTGCTGCTTCTCAAACGGTCTGACCCACCTCTCGCCTCGTGTCCCCTCAGGACCATGACATGCTCACGGTGCCCAACCTCAGGCCGTCCACCCTGTACCGGCTGGAGGTGCAGGTGCTGACCACAGGCGGGGAAGGGCCCGCCACCATCCGGACGTTCCGGACGCCGGACCCGCCGCCGCCGGTGCACAGTAAGAGCCCGCCATGTCTGCCCCACCGACCGACCGACCGAGAGCAGGCAGGGCAGAAAGCTCCCCCAACTCAGAGAAGACTCCGGGGCCACGGGGCCCTCTGTGACTGAGAGCTGTTCCTCCCCATTTCCGTCTGCCCGCCGGACGTTAGTTAGCAGAAGTCGTGGGGCTGAATTCCCACTGCCCCTCCTGCCCTCCTTGTCTTCCTCCCTCCCTTCCTTTCTTTTCTTTCTTTTTTCTTTCTCTCTCTTTTTCTTTTTTCTTTCCTTTTCTTTTCTTTCTTTCTTTTCCTCTTCCTTCCTTCCTTCCTTCCTTCCTTCCTTCCTTCCTTCCTTCCTTCCTACCTTCCTGCCTTCCTGCCTTCCTGCCTTTCTTTTCTTTCTCCTTCCATTGGTTTTGTATATAATGCCTGCCATTCCCTTCCCTTTCAAGCCATAAATCATGTGGAAAAAAATCTATAATCCTATCAGTCGGGAACAAAAGCGATGATGTAGGGCACAGTCCTTGGCTAACGCATTTATTTTCTTATCATACGCACATTATACTGGGGTATCGCACATGAGTTCTCTTCAAACTGTGACCCCAATCAATGTAGCGAAATCCAGTAAAGGTTTCTTTTAAAAAAGTGTTACCCGCTGTACAAAAACTATTAGCATCTGGCTGATTTTTTAAAGATGTATTTTGTTTATCAGTTTATTACTTTTTAAAAAGATCTTATTTATTTATCTTCAGAGGGGAAGGGAAGGAGAGAGGGAGAGAAATATCAATGTGTGGTTGCCTCTTGTGTGTCTCCTGCTGGGAACTGGCCTGCAACCCAGGCTTGTGCCCTGGCTGGGAATTGAACCATGATCCTCTGGTTTGCAGGCCTGCGCTCAATCCACTGAGCTACACCAGGCAGGGCATATTTTATTTTTTATCCAGCTTAAATGTAAAAATGCCACATCTCTGGCCCTAGTAGCTCAGCTGGTTGGAGCATCATGCAGTAAACCAAAAGGTCATGGGTTCAATTCCCGGTCAGGGCGCATACACAGGTCATGGGGTTTGATCTGCCGTCGGGTGTGTGAGAGGAGCAGCTGACGGATGTTTCTCTCCCTCTTCCTCTCCTGCCCTTCTCCCCTCTAAGCATGTCCTTGGGTGAGGATAAAAGAAATAAGTTGAAAAACCCACATGTAAAGCTTTGTGTGTTGATAAAATAATGGAGAAGTCACCCTAGTTTAACTTCTGATTTAAAAAAAAAAAGACAGATGGACTTGGCCCCGATTCCATTTTGTTTAGAATTTTTTTTAATATTTTATTTATTTTTCGAGAGAGGGGAAGGGAAGGAGAAAGAGTGGGAGAGAAATATCAATGTGTGGTTGCCTCTCATGCGTCCCCTGCTGGGAACTGGCCTGCAACCCAGGCATGTGCCCTGACTGGGAATCGAACTGCGATACTCTGGTTTGCAGGCCTGCGCTCAATCCACTGAGCTACGCCAGCCAGGGCCATTTTGTTTAGAATTTGAAGAAAATTGACAGCTATCCCTGCGGCCGAGGGTCACGGCCCTTCCCCTGCCGACGGGCTGAGGGAGGCCGCCCTGACACCCTCCGTCAGAACTATTTAATGAGAGCCTTTGTTAGCTTTTAAGCCCCCCTGAAGCGCCTCAGGGAATGTCAGGTAGTTTGTACAAACTGTGACCTTGGGGTTTATGGTTTTATCCAACAGAGGAGGGGAGCGGGAGAGAGACTGGAGGCCTTAAGGGAGCGTGAACAACCTTGGGTGCGTCCTTTCAAGTTCAAGATCGATCATCGGAGGCGAAATGACCGACCAGTGTCTCCTGTCTGTCCCCAGGGTCCCCCCTGAAGCACCGCCATCCCCACCATCACAAGTTCCCTCCAGAAGGACGCTAACCTCGAAGAGGCATGTGAGCACAGGTGCCAGCCCCGCTGGTCGAACCTGGGGGACTTGCCTCAGGCCTGGAGGAGCACAGCTGTTCCTTCCCGCAGCCCTGCCGTCTCCCAGGTAGCCCGTCCCCTTCGCTGAGGCCGGTGGGACACCGCAGGGCCCAGGAAACGAAGCCCACTGCCTGCGAGCTTCTTCTTCACACACGCGTGTGCTAGTCTCCACAGAGCTATCACAGAGCTGGCGTTCCCCTGCATTCCGTGGGAGCGGCAAAGTCTCAGAACAAATCCATGGCAACAGTGCATGACCCACACGCAAACGAAGCCTGGTGGGACTCAACGGAGGCGTTCTATCAATTATCGATTGGATTTGCGAAGCCAACTAAGGCGGTACAGTTTTCACGCCCTGTATATTCAAGTGTTGCCTGAGATGATTTCTATTACGTGTGGGTTCGAACGGAAAAATTTACCCTGAAATGTTCCAAGTTCACGTACATGTAAAGGTGTCCCCTCTTTAAATACCACACGCTTTCTGTCATAGGAAGACAGACGAGAGTTTAGTCCATCTGTGAGGATGGATGAGCCACAGGTCAAACAGGCACGACCCAGGGAAGGAGCCCAGTGTCCAGATTTCCATTGCCTTGCAGAAGCGAAATTGCTTCTCTGGGCTGCTTTCTAATATTTCGTCCTATAACCCGAGAGATCTTCTGGGGATGCTCTCTTATTTATGTTTCCCTTTTCCCTCATGATAATGGCTGCTGCTACGCTTGGCTCCTGAGTTCACGTATATCAACGTGTACTCACCCTCCTACTGAACGTGAAGGCGTCCCCACGACCGGCCCTGTTCCGGCTTTTCCCAAGCCCCGCCTTGGGTCGGTCCCAGGAAGCCCTTGGTGGTCTCTGTGGCAGAAACCAGGGCAGTGGCTTTCCTCGCGAGAGCACAGCTCCTTCCCCTTCGCCAGCCCTTGCTTCTTCAGACCTGCTGCATGTTCCCGTGTGGAAGTGTCCCAGGCTGCCCCCTACTCCGTGATCGCAGGAACCCATGTCATAGCGTGTTCTCAGTGTGTAGGGATGCCATGGACACTGGGCCACTGCCACCACAGACATGTTCAGTGGCACCCTTGTTTCTCAAGGCGGTGCCCACGTTCGTGGTTTGAGATAATCACACGTGCATGTCTGTATAGTTACAGGTGTGCCTGCATATGTACACACACGCACATACATGTGGAGAGGTACCACCCACACACTGAGGAGATGGTTTCGGCAGCTCCCCAGCGGTGGAGAAACACAGAGTTTCCCCTGCAGCCCCCGTGGACGGCACATCTTCCCCATCCCTGTCCCTCCTATGAGAAAAGAGCAGTTTGTCCGAAGGACACACTTGGAAGGCAAGGCTTCCTCGTCTCCTGGTCCACCCACCAGGAGTGAGGACATTTTCGGGACCGTTCTCCTTAGGTTCTGCAGTAGGACTGGTCCTGGTTGGGGGCGGTGTCCCCGGGTGCGTGTGAATCCTCTGAATCCCTGCTCAGAGCGCCTGCGGCTGGCGTCTCCTAGCAGGTGCGACACACAGCAGAGAGAGGCGTGTGCACGGGCCCGGTCCTGTCTGAGAGCAGACAGAGAACCATGCCCCATGCGTTCAGATTCGCACAGGGCGCACCGTGTGGCGGTGGTCTGCCTCCCTGCAGGGGGGACAGGGAGGGGAACCTCAGAATGGCAGTGGGTGCCGGTTCTGAACCAGACGCGGTCTGGGATGTGCGACGTCGGCCGGTCCGAGAATGACCCATTTTCACTGGAGACGGCAGGACAGGGCTTCCTTTAAATGCCCCCCCTTCCCCGCACCCCATCTGCCTCTAAAGCTACAGTTTATCCCACCGTCATGACCTGCATCCGAATTTCTAATTCCTAGGATTTCAGAAATAAAGAGTTGCAACCATCAGCTCCAAGGTCCTCTTTCCCCTTAATTCGTCACGAACCGATCCCAGAATTTGTGCCAGCAAATTTTTGTATCCTTGTATGGTTTACAATGCAGGCATGTATACATGGATACAAAATTATTATTACTATATAAGTTTAATTTTATAAAATTTAATCATGTTTCTTTGGTGAATAGACGCTGAGCAAATACACGTTTAGTTCTAATGAAGGTTTGAGACTTGTCTCTTCCTTAGGAAATCTCAAGGTCTTCTTACTGGCATCTAATGTTGCTAGAATAGTCAATAATTTAAATTTTATGACTATGACTGGAAGAAAATGCTATTAATGACACAACAAAAGAAGCATAGCTGCTTTCACGAATGTCAGTAGTCACCAATAGTATTCAAATGAGAAAAAAACATAGTTGCCGTGTTGTGAATGATAAACATTCGGGTGCCCCCATGAAGGGATGGAATCTATGTTTTCATAAAAACATAGTTTTCATGGCTAAGTTTCTAATACATCTTATTGAAATCAGAGGCATTTCTCATATGAAAAAAATACAGGGTGGGCAACAACCAGGTTTACAGCGTGTATGGGAAATGATACAAGAATGAACTTGGTTTTGCATCTTCACGACTGGAAACCGACTTTTGCCCACCCTGTATCTTCAGGAACGGGCTCTGCTCTTTAAAGAAATCGAGCCCGTGAACCACAGATGCGTTAAATATGGGGGCTGACGTGATCCACCGGGCAGCTGTGGGCGTGCTTTTCACTGAAAACCCTCAGCATTTGCAGTGGGTCCTCCTGTCTTTCAAAGTATGGCCGCGTGGGGTGATTTCCCTGATCCAACACCCGCCCTTTTTAGTCCTTCACAGTTTTCCTGTGGTACGTTAGAGGCAACACAGTCAGAACAGGTCCCACGTTCCCATGTCCCCCCAACAGAATTCCAAGTTTACCCGGACGACTGCACCCCAGACACCTAACAGAGCCCGTGACCAGGTCTGCAGCGAGGGTTCTCACCGCAGCTCCGCTGACCTGCGGCGGGGGCTGACTGGTGTCCGTGGCAGAGACGGTGCTGTGGGTCGTAGGGACGGTCCCGGACACCGTAGGGGTGGCCCTGGGCATCTTGGGGATGGTGTTGTACTTTGGGAGGTGCTAAGCGCCACCCCTGGTCTCCGCCTGCCAGAGTCAGGAAGCACATCCCCCACCGTGTGGCACCGAAAACACCTCCAGACATTGCCAACCCCGCTCTCCCTGGAGGGGGGGGCAGATACCCCTGCATCTTAATAGTGAGAAGAACATTTGCCCCGTAGGAGGACTCCCGGCAGGAGGAACAGGGGGGAGCTTACCACGTGGGGCCTCAAAGCCCCAAACTGTGTGTGTTCTGTCCACGGACAAACCTGCCTAATAGGGTGCATCTGTAACTTGTGTGTGCACCACGCCAGAGCAAACAGAAATGTCGTACATACCTGTCCTGGTCACCTGTGGGAGCGCCTGGCTGGCATCTGCCCTTTCTTACACGGGTGCACAGACTCCCTGCCACGATCCCAGGTGTCTGTCTGTCTTCTCGCAGATTCTCGTGTGGAGACCGCGATGCACACGCTACACGTCTAGTGCATGTACTTTGTAACTCCCGGGGACGCCATGGGGTGTAGACAGGTGGTGCGTCTGACGTGCAGCATGGCAGGCTGAGTCTCGGTTCTCTCCGGAGGACTCTGGCAAGGGAGATACGTGATTAACAGAAGTCTATATGTAAGGTAACTATTTTTATTTACTTCCCTCTATTCTTGGAGCTCAGATAACAAATGGCTACATTCGCATCCACACAGTCTGTGCACATCACGACCATTCTAGGGGCCATTGAAAGCCCGTATTTATTTATGTATGTGGTAAAAATTTGATTTCTGTGTGTGTATCTGACACGTTATTTAGAGGCGTAATCTTGTAAAGAAAAATGTAAAAAAACCCCAAAAGGTATTGTACATAGCCTGAGATTCTGTGACTCCTTATTTTCATGTTAGCATTTGTACATACTGATTCAGTAATAAAGTCTCCTGGAGCCTGTCCACTGGACTTTGCTCATTGTTTTTTTTTGCCTAAAAAGATAAAACAAAACGTGTAGTTTTCATTTAAGAAGAAAGAGGCACCATTTCCCGGGCTTGCCAGGGGGATTCCAACAGCCTACCTCGCTGGGCCAGAGTGAGCAGCTCTGAAGGCCTGGGAAATGTCGGAAGACACGCCTCACTCTGGACAGGGTGCCGAACTCCGGCCAGACAGACCTCAGCCCCACTAAACCGCGTCTCTCACTCTCGGTGCTGACGGACTGCTGGCGGATTTTGTATCAATGGTCTGCAACCTTCAGGCCCCGCTCCACCCCCCGCCCCCCCGCCCCGGGGCTGTATCCATAAAGTGCTACATTTTAGCAGTGCTCACAAGCAGGCATCTGTGTCTCTGCTTTTCCAGCTCTGCACAGTCAGGGGAAGGCTCCAGTCTCCAACGTGCAACATGAGGAGGAGACTGGCCTCAGTGCCCCCCCAGAGTTTAGTCAGAGCTCACCGGGTTCACACACACATACACTTTGCACATCTGCAGGTCTATTTCTATGCCGTTTTTACCATGTGTGCATGGCACTGAGTGCAACGGACCATTTAAAGAGATGCAGTGACTTAAATGCGTTTTAAGGACGTGTTGCATATTTTCGCACATTGGCCACAGGTGGATGCATTTGCTTTAGGCTGGTTTTAAGTTTAATGTTACCAAAGCGATGCACTCCATATGTAGTCCATACTCTCTTACTCACTCACGGGATAATGTTCCATAAGACCGGTGTGTGCCTCACCAGCCTGCCCAGAAAAATCTGTCTTGTCCGACGAAATGGACTTTGTGCGTTAAGGAAAATGGGTGGGATGGAAAAGTCGCTTCTGCAGCAGAGAGAAATGCCAGTGCACTTTTGCGTTGGGAAGTGGGTTGGAGGAAGAAAGCGGGGACAGTAAGTTCGTCACTGCTAGTAAAGCAGGAACGCGATTGGGGGTCTCGGATGGGACGCTTTCAGATCGACTCTTGAACCTTTGCCTCTGGTGACTGGCCTGACCCGGGGTCAGGTGCTGTCAAACCTGGCTGCCTCCCAGGGCCCAGGGGGGCTCTTAGGAAGAGCGATGACTTCAGCCTGCTGCAGATGGGGGTGGAGCTGGAAAGCGTCCCCAGATCATTCAAATATGGGCCCAGCATTGCGAACCAGTCCTCCAGACCGGGAAGAGAGATGGCGTGATAGGTGGCATGCTCATTCCTGCGTGCAGACCTGAAGGGGTTAAAAGTCGTATAGAAGCTGCCCAGTGAACTGAAGCTCCTTCCCCTCACCATGTGTCTGAGTAAATTATACTCAAAGACACAGGTGTGGGTTTGAGTGTGCGTGCAACACACGGAGGCATAGTGTGAACACGGTCTGGAGCCGAAGTTCATCTCGGACACGTATCCGAATGCAGGCGTGTTGTGAAGACAAGGGCTGGTGGAGAAGAAAAGGGGTCTTTACTTAAATGTTGCACAATTTGGGGGAGCAGATTCCCCGATGCCAGGCCAGTCTCTCCCACAAAACACAGAAAAAAACCCAGCTGTTCCCGACACAGACGGACCCCCCACGCCCTGCCCAGAAATCCTGCTTGATCCTTATCCGTGCTTCAGAGCACAAGGCTGCTGCCAGGCAGATAGTTCTCTGCCTTCAGGCTCCGTGAAGACTGCTCGTGGGGCTGGTGCCTCCGTTGCCACACTGTGGCTTCCTGTGCCGGAGTCCTGAGGCTGCTGCTGGCCACTGCTGACCACTGCAGTAGAGGGTCCACTATGCCAGCCGTGGGGCTTGCTGCCCAGTCACACGGCTTCCAGGGGCTGCCATTCCACAAGCACTCTGGCCCGCGCCCCTGTGCTGCAGCTCCCAGACAAAAGAGATGGGTGAATCTGCCTTCCCTCGGTTGAATTCTGGGATGCACATTTCTGTGCACTTTGGAAGGGTTCAGCTTCCCCAGCCAATCCCGTTCTTTTCCCAGGCTGGATTGGCAGGCCTCACTGCAGCACAGCACCTCCCCCGGCCACCGTGTTGACCTTTAAGGTAACTTGACTGCACCCTCTGGGTCCCCTTTCAATGAGGGACTGCAAGAGGGCAGGAGGGCTTTCCCCATGTGTCCGTCACGCCCTACAGCCTCACGCAGACTCCGTGCAAGGCGGCCTCTGCCACCTCTCGCTGCCCGGGTGCAGGGACATCTGGCGTCACGCCCTGTGCTAACGTGGACAGCTTCATGCTGTGGGCTCTGGCATTTCCAGGGACCCCTCCCTTGGTGTGCACACCACACCGGCATCCCTAGGAGAATCATTTCATGTCACAGCTAACGTCACGTACGCTGGCCTGGTCAGACGTCACCTCACCGTACCCTGAGCATTGTCTCCCTTTGCAGGACGAGGGGGCAGGCCACCAGCCCCCTCGCCTGCTGTCCTGGCAGACAGAAGCAATCAATGGCAGCACTCTCTCTGGAAGAACTGGGACCACGGGAGTCTGGGAAGTCCGAGCAATCCATCGGCACTGGCACTGTCTGTGCTGCACCCTGGGCAGCGGGTGTGGAGAAGAGCAAAGCAGTAGTGAAGCCCGTCTTCCGAGTGGAGGTGGGGACTGAGAGTCACCAGAGTTCTCCTTCAATAGGTGTTGTGTGGGAAGAAAGAGCTGACTCACTGTGACAGCCCCTCGAATCCAAACGAGGAACACGGTGGGGATTGTCCGGAAGGAGCCCGGCCCACAATACATACAAAGTGCCCTTCAGTAAGGAGCACAGCGCCCATGTCCCACAGGAGTGTGGTGACGGTGGACTAAGCAGCCCCAACACCCACAGCCGACGGCTAGATCCTGCTATTAAAACCCTGATAGACTTTCACCGCGCCACCTGGCCGCCACCCCCCTCACCGTCCCAAACCCCTGCCCTGCGCCGGGAGCCAGGGCCGAATCTGGGAAAGGAACAGGACGCGCCCCAGGCTGCTGTTGTTCTGAACCTAACTGGCCCACGAAAGCCCTGACTCCATTCAGCCAGCTTGCTCACTAGCTCAGTTCGCACCCAGATGCCCGGACGTGAGAAGGGCCTTTCACACAGACGAAAATTCCCATGGGATATGGACGGAGACAGAGAACTGCATAATTTATTCTTCATTTAATTGCATGTGTTTTATTTCTTTTTTAAAAAGATTTTATTTATTTTTAGAGAGAGGGAAAGGGAGGAACAAATAGAGGAGAGAAGCATCAGTGTGTGGTTGACTCTTGCACGCCCCCTACTGGAGACCTGGCCCACAATCCAGGCATGTACCCTGATTGGGAATTGAACCAGCAACCCTTTGGTTCGTAGGCCGGCACTCAATCCACTGAGCCACACCAGCCAGGGCTAACTGCATGTATTTTACTAAACTAGAAGCACTGAGAATGTTGTATTCTTACGTTCACACCCATGAGGACATGCCCATTGTTGCCTAACACAGAAAACGGCCAGGATGCATTTTCCTGGTGCGTGAAGAACCGGGCAATTCCCGGAGGAGAGCTTGTCCTCCTACTTCGGCAGGTGATATCTGTGGTCAGCTATCTGTGGAGAGCTGACGTGGGCTGCAGGCCTCCCGGGCAGACGGTGGGGGAAGGGCTGTGCTGAGCAGTTTCCACACCTGCCAGAGGCGAAGGTGAGCTCATTCGCGCTCAACCCAGCTCCCTCGGTGCTTTTCTCACACAAGTCACTGCGGTGATGAGATTGCTGTTCCTGTTGTTGGATCCCGGAGCCGTAAATCTCCAGCGAGGTGAAAAAAAAAGGCGTGTGTGGATGTTTCACAAGAGCCCGGCGTTTGTGGGTCTGTTTGCTCCATCAGACATCTGTGTGCAATAGCTCCCAAAGATCTCGCCGGATGTTACAAGCCACACCAGGCCAGTCTCCTGCTGGACAGAGCAGCGTGTTAAATAAACATCCTGCAAACCCATCAGTGTGAATTCAAGGAGGCACATGATTTTCCTTTCCATTGTGTCAAGGGACCTCTGTTTGCTATCATGGATACCTTTGGTTTAAAAAAGCCGTTTTGGAGACAAATGAATTGTCGATGTTTATATCAATATAAATTCTATCGGTTTACCTGGCTTGGGATTATAAAAATGTCTCAAAACACTTTAAAAAAACTGAAACTTTTCTTTAGCAACGCTTCCAAAGGGCAGAAAAAAAAAGAAGGGATTCATTCTTCATTTGAAAGATTAGATCCAAATAAGAAAATCTGACTGAAAGAGAATGGCGATCCCAGACAAAACAAAACAAACCAAATTTTGATTTGTCGTCTTGACCCTTCCAAAATATTTGAAGTGGCTCATTACGGAGTTCCATAAATCTCTGGTGGCATTTCCTCTCAGGTAAATCCCTTGTCTTTTTTAATTCAGAAAAAGTCACAGAAATCAAACCATTTCCAAAAAGGCCACCTTCTGGATCCAACCTCTGCAGCAACAAAGGTACCGAAAAGTATGTGTCAGCTGCTGATTCTCTGGCTGACCCACCCAAACGCATCTTGTTCACATCTGTTCTGCACTTCCAGCCACTTGAATGCACCCGGTTTTCAGCTTTTTGAAATGCTTTCTGGAGCAGCCTTGGTCCGAAGCCACCGCCCCTGCCCACCCCCAACCCGAGAGGATGAACACTGAAAACCTCGGGGGATCAAGGCCAAGTTTGGGGCTTTGAGTAGCCAAGTAGAACTCAGTTCACAGCAGAAATATTGGTCTCGAAAGCGAAGCATTTCCCTCCAAAAACTGGCCCTTGAGAATGTATCCTTTCTATTTCTAAATTTTGTATTTAAATGTGAAGAGGCAAATCCATGCCGCAAAGACAAACATTCAGGTTATTTATATCTTTAACCCTGGAGGGAGAGACGGCCCAATGCAGCCAATGCCATCCCCATGCGGGCAGGGTTTGGGGGGGGGATGAGCCTTGTAACAGCAAGAGGCAGGATGGAGGGACATTGCCACACCTCACCTGCTGACGGGCAGGTGGAGGTCTTTATCAGGAAGCAGGTGAGTCTGCAGGATA